AATACTAAAATATGGAAATTAAATATTGTCGTTTATATAAAAAATTAAAAATTAAAAATATTCCCACCTTCAATCATGATATAAGCTTTAATACAAGACTGCATAGAAAGGATATGATGATTTATCCTGTCAAGGGAATAATTAACTCATTGCTTCTCTATAACCTAATAGTTTTCTGTACTATTATTCAAATTCCTAAATGTTCCTTAATTAAGTCTTTTATCTCTGTTCAAATTGTCTTGATCAGATTGAGGTCCAGAGAATTCGCTAGCTATAGTACTAACTTTCAGAGACCATGCTTCTCATAAGGAATATTGTAATAATGGTGAATATGTACTGGGGTATTATCCTCCATTATCACAATATCTGCCTACTTCATCTACTCAGAAAGAGCCAATAGGTAGAGAAGAGAAACTTGAATCCATTCACGATAGATAAACCAATCACTTCTCACTTTTCTACCTATTTTCCTCTCATTTAACTCTGGGAATAGTTGAGGATCTACAATTCTGGAAGGTGTGAGATTATATCTCAAAACCTCTGCCTTCTTCTCTTCCAACTTTCTACAAAGTTGCACTATCACAGTATCTATCTGCTTTTTACTTTAATACAGAGTTAGGTAGAGATAATATGGAAGATTGGAACCTGTATAGGAATTGGTTTTTTATAAATTAAAACTTTATAAAATAAATTTAACAAGTAAATAAAAGAGATTATCTTACCCTGTTTGCTATATAGTATTGTCCTCCAAAACATAATGGTAACTCCCTGAGAAATTTTTGATTTATATTCCATAAGGGGTATGCCTCTCCTGGTCAGCGTAATACTTCACAGATACAATGGTGTTGTAGTACTCCTATTTCAAAGTAGGACCCATCTTTAAATATCATATCTATTCAATTCTGCCCATGATACTATAAACAAAAGTTTAGTCTTACAGACTTTCACTCTGATAATAGAGTAGACTTGTCTGTTGGCTTTTAACAATGAATATTCTCAGCTAGTACCCTTCATACTGTAAGTCCACTCATATTAATCCACCAAGATAGTTCTTACAGCTTACATTTTACATTTTACTAGATTATTTAATTGAATCTATTTATTTAATTATTTGTTTATTAATATTTACTTGGTTGAATTAGTTAGGAGTATAAAGACTTTCCGGGCATGACTGTACAGTACATATTGTATGAACTCAAGTTATCCCCTATTTCTACTAGACCTCTAATCTCGTCAATCCTTGAATCAATCCACAATAGGTCTAGTTGACAAGTTAATACAATTACCAATATCAGTTATTGAAATCCAATATGATCAGTAAACTCAGCCTTAACTATGTGAGGAAATCACTAATCCTTCTGAAGGGTTTTTGTTTTAGAGCACGGAGATTAAGGGGGCTAGCGGAGATAGTACTAGATAACTCGAATTAATACGGTACCGGTATTAGGCCATCGGACTGGTGCCTACTTTGATAACTTAGCATCCAAGAGCTATTATAGACTGGCCTGGAATGTCTCAAATGCTAAGTTCTATGATTGAGATGGACTAAAATTCAGTGACCATGCTGGCTTGTCTTCGATTTTTGTCTTATAAAATTTATATACCATAGACCGTGCTCGTGCCGCAATTTCAGTGTGGTTGGGAAACCTGGACTCCTTTCCATGCCCTGAACATCACATTATTGTGGTTCACGCTGTACCGGCATTGTTTCTAACGTACTGAAAAAAAGAGCTGCCTCGTAAATCCATCATACTGGATGCGCCCCCCCTATTTTTCAAACGGGGGGAATCAAGAGATTTCATCCCATGTTCATCTTCCAAGGCTTTGGCTTTTTTCAGACATTTTTCCCCACCAGTTGATCTGATCGGTTAATCATCTGCGCCTTCTCCAAGTCGAGCAATCGATAACCCTGGAGCTTAATTGTTTGCACAGACCTCTATGTATCGTGTGCACACCGTTCCTTTATTTCTTTTATCTCTTTCGCGTTTCTTTTTTCACTCATAAAAGGTGATGATATCTTTTGATGATACCTTGCCAAGATGCTTAGAGGGGGGCGATGGATACAATATTACAGTACCACACCAATTCCATTCGTTCCCAGCTTTTCTTACCTGTCAAACTTTGCTTTTCTAAGCCATACAAATTTTTGAAACAGATAGACTATCTAGGCTACCAATGTTGGCACGGTGAAGATGAGTTAGACTAATTCTGTGTTGGTACGAGTAGAGAGAGGTTAGAGTTGGTATTTGGATCTTCGAAAGCCCAAGGCATCGAGCAATTGTAAAGCTTCCACATCATACCGGTTTTCTGTTCAACCCGGCAATAGTCACAGGGATGGGACCCACGCATCCTTCGGTCAACATCACGCGAAGCTCTCGGGTCAGTCGGCGGTGGCGATGGCGACAGGCGAGCTTGGGGAGCAGCAGAAGGAAACTTCACAGTACGGGGGAAAACCCATCTCCTTGGATGGATTGTCGCCAGAGAGAAGACCAGCAGGGCACTCGAAGGGATAAACCAGCAGCCAGTAACTCGAGTACCCTTCTTGCGCCACGTGCGCGTTGCAAGGATCAGATCGCTCAGCTAAGCGAGGTTTGTTGTTGGGGTGTGACAATGAGGTGGGGAGGGGAAAAAGAGGCAAGGCGGACCAAGACCTAGGAGAAGGGAAAAAAGAAAAAAGAGTGAGGTGAGAGACTCTTGAGGAGACGGAGAAAGGGAAGAGGGAGAGGGAGGGAGGGGAAGAAACTAGAAGGAAGAGGGAGGGAAAGAATGAGGATCATTTCTCTCGGGGGATCATCCCATCCCCCTGAAGAACATCAAGGCTCTAAAAGATCATCCCTACTCTTTTTTCTTCCACAATTGTGACTTGCGACTGCTGGATAGGAGAGACCGGAGTCTTTGATAGAGACCAAGTGGCTAGCATGCAACCACACAGCCCTAACTTGGTATCGTATAATACAACTTGGTACAGCTACAGAGCTCCGGAGTGCTTATCAGAAAACGATCTTTCCATACACAGCCAGATAGCAGCACGTCAATATACTAGACTTAAGGGCGGCACATACACATATTAGAGGTTGTGGTATTTCATGTACAGTACGAGTACTGTACTGTACATGCAACATTGGGATATTTGGGGATTTCTTCCTTCTTAACAAGCAAATCTGGCCCATCACCCCTGGAACCGATCCCAGAATCAACCGATCCAACGCGAGTGCAACACCACCTTTTTAGGGTTCAAAGAGCTTCAATACCCGTACCGTGGCTCTATCGGTACACACACAAACAAAGGCTGTTCGCATCCCGATATCAGTAATCAGAGGCCGCAGAAACCCGGCGGGTTGAGACAAACTTGTTGAGCGCAACCTTGGGAGACCTCAGCGGTCCAGCGCAATTCACCACGTTTGCCTGGAGCTCTCGGACTGCCATTATATCCCCTCCCTACTCGAGTACGCTTCGACGCCGGTCCGTGTCTTGGGCCCTTTGAAGCTGCCATCTGGAGGCAGTGGGAATCAGGACTGTTGGAGACGATAGTATTCGAGTAGTGAAAAACTTACTACCTAGCTGTCAACTAACCTAACTTATACTGGTTACTGAGAATTGTATCCGTACCGGTACTATATCATATGCTCGGGGTGGAGGAGGGCGATAGTCTTGGAAAACGATTCTGGTGGAAACCCTACTGGTTGAGGTTGTCGGAGTGCCATAGTCTACCACAGCTTTCTCTCTCTTGTGTCCTCCAAAGAGCAGTTGCTGCGCCCTGATTGCCCCACCAGTGAATCAGCAACAACGTCGCGCTCGTCATCGTCACCTTACCATCAACTATCACCTCCAATATTTTTCTCCATTCGAATTCCGGTCCTTTTTGGAAGGACTTCGCATATCATACTTACACATCATCCGATTATCCCTCCCAGATACAACAATCATTTTATAACCACGCTTAGGAGGCAAATAGAATAGGTGAAATTACGATACTGTACCCGAGGTTTGAGTTAATCCAGCTCCTTTTGGGATTGCTTTTCACCGTGTGGCTACCACCTCTCTAGGGTGTGAGAGAAGTAAGAGGGAAAGAAGGAGGAAGAGAGAGGGAGAGAGAGAGAGAGACTTACACGACACTGACTTCTTCCTTTGGGCCCCCTCCTTGTTAATTCCCCGCTAGTTCATCAGATTTGACCCGCGTGCGGAGGAAGCCGAACACGAGGTGTCGAATAGATCACCCTTCAAGTCCAAATTTTCTTTACTCTTTTCAAGCAGCAGCTGCCGGTTCTCTCAATATCCCTTTGTTGCATTCTCCCTCCCTACCTTTCTATTCTTCCTACATTCTCTCAATTTCTACCCGAAAGCCCGTCACTTTGGCGCTGCACACTATCAGCCTTGTGAACCGTCTTCCAACCATCCTTTCCTTTACTGTCAACCCCCACCACCTGTCTTAAAATAAGGGAAAGGATCTGGTGCTTATTGATGATATAACGATGGGAACAAATATCACCCACAAGCCGCCACTGCCGATACCTGCCTCCGTTTTAGCCTCATCTCTATCTCCGGCTTCTTCTAATATAAAGATTGAACGGGTCCTGAGCTCTTCCTCGGTATCCACCAAACCATTCCTGCAGGCTGCTTCTGTGCAGGATCTCCTCCATTCCTCCAATCCTGCTTCTACTCCTGCCACTGCCATCATTGCCACTACTCCTCGCCACTTGCCTGCTTCGCCTTCAACATCTACCGGAGCTAATACAGCTGCCACTCCCGCTATAGCCTCCGTTCATTCTTTGTTACATCCTGATACCGCATCTTCTCCAATACAGCAGCATCAACATCAACATCTCCATCTTCAACAACAGCAACTACAACACCAACAACAGCTAAAACAGGAGCACCAGGAGCTGCCGCCGCCGCCGCCGCCGCCGCAGCAGCAGCAGCAGCAGCAACCCCAACAGCACGCCCAACTATCACAGCAGCCATTGCTATCGGATAGCCCACCATCGTCTTCGGAGTCTTCTATGGCAACTGCTGTGGTGGCACCCCAGCCTGCCCATGTAATGCAGCCCTTTACAAGACCAATCCGTTTTGTGGCGAACGATGGGCAACCACATGCAAAGAGGAGAAGAATAAGTGCTGCGTATGTTGCTCCTGATACTCCTTTCAGTTAGGGTAGCGGATGTTAAATAATATTTCTCGCTCTTTCCCTTTTTTTTCCTTCCTGTTTCGTCTGATGGTACTACCCCCACACTACCATCCCATCCGTGGGATCCGGCGATTTGATATTGTACTTGTACAGTTCCTCGCGCATAACTATGTATCCATCCATCCTTTTTGCATGTCGCGATGTGTATATATGTTGGTTTATTGCGTTACCTTATTGGGATTCCTCTCTCCTCCACTTCCTTCGTTTTCTTGTTTTTAATTTTGTTAATTTTTCTGTTGGGTTACACATTTAATGCTGACTTGCTTCTCCTCTTGACGGAAATTGCCATAAAGATGCAAGACATGCCGCAAGAGGAAAACCCGCTGTAGCGGTGAGAAGCCTATCTGTGAGACCTGTCGTCAAAACGGCCATTCATGCCTAGGGTATTCCGACCCCACCAATTCGGCGCCAGTATCATCAGCACACCAGACTCAGCTTCAACAAAGCCAGGCCCGCTCCGAATCTACCCCCACCGTAGTAACCACACTCACGGATAAACCGCTAAAAGAGCCATTATTCTCTCCAACCCCTTCTTCACCACATGATCGCCCCAGGAAGCCTTCAGTACAGCAGCCCTTGCCGAGCGAGCAACGTGAACTGCGAGGTACGGAATCGGGAGTAAAGTCACAAAAGCGGAAATCGACCGGCTACCATGATGCTGCCGGTAGAGGTTACGAATATGACATGGATAGTCGTAGAGCAGATGGCGGAAGTGGGGGTGAATTGACGGACGAGGGCCCCAGTCCTGTTTTGAGATGTTCGTCTCCTGTCTCCTTGCGCCCTGTTTTGTCCCCTTTTAGCCCTTTTTGTCTCCGATTTATATACCCATAATCCTCGCCAGCAAGTCTGCTTTGCTTTATTTTTTTTGTTTTATTCTTGAGAGATATTAAGGTTAACCGCTTTTTTAAAAAAAAACATTATTTCACGGGATTTTATAGATCCGTCGCCTCCATCACAGAGACTTGCACACCGCATGCCTTATTTCCGTTATTTCGGCCCTACGGCTATTGTGCCAGGCTACAAACAAATGGTTGTTGAAGTACACGATAGGAATAACATACCTCGACATTCCAGTCTTTCAATGAGTGCAAACTCTTCGGTGACATCGCCAGCATCAACATTTGTGAGTCTTGGGAATCCAAACTCAACACCTACGGTTTCTTCCGGAACAAACAGTGTTCCAATGGAGGATATCCCTTTCTATGACCCTAGCGACCCTGCCCCAAATAACCCCTTGATCGCCCACCTTGTCGAAACATTTTTTTCGCATTTGGGGTGTAATTTCCCATTCTTAAGGAGAGAGGTTTTCACTAAAGATGTTGAGGAGAAACGGGTTGAGGGAATATTGGTTGATGCAGTTTGTGCCGTTGCTGCCAGGTTTTCGAGTAACTCGTTGCTACAGTCACTGGTTCGGAATGGAGAAAGGGTACCGCCTAGCGAGTATGGTACCGCATTTGCTATTCGTGCAAAGAGTCATGTTGTTGACACCTTTGCTTGCCCAAACCTTGCTACTGTACAGGCTTGCATACTACTAGCGTATGTGGAGTTTGGGAGCAACAGGGATAGTGGACTTTGGATGTTTTTAGGAATTGCGATTAGAATGGCGCAGGATTTAGGGTTACAAAAGCTGGAAGGTACTAGAGGCGGTGCGGAAGGGGGAAGTGAAGCTAGGCGTGTTAGGGGAAGTAGGTCGCGCAGCGTGGAACAGAGCCCGAAGGCGAATACGAGTGCTGGAAACGACCGTAGGGTGAAGCTCGAGTCGATGGGGTGTTACGATGATGGGGTAGCTGAGGGCCGCGAAGAGTACGTGGACAACGAGAATGTAAGGGAGGCTAAAGCTAGGGAGAGAGAGCGGACGGATACGTTTTGGGCTGTTTTCTTTCTTGACAGAGTTATTTCATCGGGCACAGGGAGACCTGTAACGATACGCGACAAGGAGATTGAGATAGACTTTCCGCCCATCGAAGAGGTTGACCCCGAGCATGGATATCCACCGCCTTTCCCTGCTCTCATCAGGATAATTCAACTATACGGAAGAATAACGGACTTATTGAACAGTATAAAAGACGTCCATACTGTCACGCCGGATACCTTGAACAGCCTTTCGGGCATGGAGGCAGATTTAACGAAGATCTATCAAAGGCTATCCCCAAACCTTCATTTTGGTGTTGCTAATTTTCAACACTACGCTAGCACCAATCAGGGGGCAGTGTTTTTACTCCTTCATTTTTGGTTTCATACTTTAATTGTATTATTGCATCGTCCGACGCTTCTCATTGCCTTCGGGGGAAGTATACAGCAGCTGTTCTCCAATAGTCGCGAGTTATCAATGTCATCCGCCAAGACAATTGCCGACATTTTGGCATTTGCGGAGTTGCTGGATTGCAAGGCAGTAAATGGCAACCCGTTTACTAGCCAGCCAATCTACATCGCGGCGTGCGCATTCTTGCAGGAAAGCGCTGCGCATTCTTCTTCAAATCCGACATCGAGATCATCGTCACCGCCTCCTTCGGGATCCTTGCCGTCATTCAATGCCTTGACTCTTGGAAGCATGGCATCAGAGTCCAACAGCAGTACTAGTAGGCCTCCAACAGCTAGCCGAGGCTCGCCGGTCAGTAGCAACGGAACTGCTATTGGCCCCGGAAATAATGTTCTTACGGGTGGAGGAACAACCATCACCAGTGGAAGGGGAATGATTCCAGGTTTTGGGTCAAAGATAATGGAGGAGGGGACCCTGGTCCAGAAAATATCGACGAAGCACGCTTTGCTCGCCCAGGCAGCTCATCAGAATTACCAGAAATGCTATAAAGCGTTGAAAGCGATGGAGACCTATTGGGAGGGGGTAAAGTACATTTTGACAGTCATGGATCAAAAGGCAAAGGGGATTGTCGATCCGCTGCTTTACACAGTTGAGGAAATGGAAAGTGTCGAAGTCCATAGGTGGGGAGCTGGGGTGTGGAACCGTTTCCGAGGCAATTTAGTCCCGGGTGTGGAACAAGCGAATGGAGCGGTCCATGAGGACATAATCAAACTGGAGGGAGGATTGTCGCAATCTGGTCTCATGCCTCCAGGGGGTCAATTGGGTCTTGGGGTTAACCGGATACCAGAGCATGTGTCATCGCCGCATATGAATGGGATTCATGGGAACCCTAGTCAAGGTTAGTTTCCGTTTGGAATAACATTTCTGGGTGGTTCTAATTTGTTGGAATAAAAAGCCATTGGGTGGTCCCTGACTGGGACTACAAACTCTCCAAATTCAAACTTGACCTTTATGTTTCCTGCTAGCGGTGAGGCTGGTGTTTACACTATACAACACCAACAGTACAACGGGAACGCCTCTTCACCACACGCCAACCATCACGGCGGGATACAGCAAGCACAAGATCCACGAAACGGACTCATGACGTCTGGAATACACCCGCCACTTCCACATGGATTTGTTGGTGCGACACCGACTTCAACAACATCTCTAGCTGCGTCCCCCCAATCCAAGTACTCTGTGGGCGCATCGGCTCCAGCCGCAAGCGATGCCGAAATGCTTCTGGGGCTCAGCGTGGATCAACAAAGGCAACAACAAAAGGCTGCTGGTGTTCATCACAGCCCCATGGATGGGCTTATTATGGGAGGAGACATTTATAACAACGAGGAAACCGGAAGTGCTATGGGAGCATTCAACGCGTATAATATCATGATTGAAAGTGAAGATATCAACATGAACAGTATGGGGGCCAATCAACTGCTTCCATTATTGGAGTTCGTGCCCTATGATTCCTATCAGTATGGTGCAGAGGCTGGGGAGGGTATAGTTAATCACCACCACCATCAGCACCGTTGAACCTGGGAGACTACGCGGTGGGTGTAGAATTGTTTATTTCCTTTTGCCACTTTTTTTCTCTTTTTATTACGATTCCAGCGATATTCCCTTAGTTTCGGGTCGGGTATGATTTTTGTAATGGGTTTCATGGTTTCTCATCCTGCTAGTGTCACGGCGACGGTTCCCGGGCATTAGCACTTTGTATGATCGCCATTTTTTTCCTTTTCTTTATCATGGCGACCTCTTTCCCTTCCTTTCTAGGCTCTCTTTTTTACTATCGTATCTTGTGGAAGAGCGCCGACAAATGGATTTTCATTTACATGGGTGTTACTAGTGTCGTTTTGTTGTATCAAACAAAAATAAGGCAGGCAAACATGGTGTTGTTGTTTGGAGTTGGAGTTTTTCTTGTTGATTTATCTATTTCTTTGAAGAGACTTGCACTCTACAGTTCCTGGACGAGCACATGAAGTGAAAATGTTCTGAAAAGAAAATTAATGGGTTGACGAGGGAGGGTAAAATAGTTTGTACGAGGATGCAATTATTTTATCTTTTATTTTTGGATTGCGCGATTGGTTGATTCCACTTTATTTCGGTATTAAATTTTGATTTTTTTTATTCGGGATGTGGAGGGCGCATAGACTTTGCTTTCAATAAACCTTCCGATATCATACCATGCCATATAATATTATTATGGGAGTACATTACCGTACGGCACAGACAATGTTTATCCTCCCGGTGATCCCGACATTTTCGCAGTCAACAAATCCCCCACGTCTCCCCCCTCTTATTCACTTATAAACCGACCTACCCACCTCCCACAATCATCCATCTCACCCACCTCATCCAATAAAACACCCCAAAGACCGAAAACCCAGGAGAAATGCTTGTAATGTATTTTTACTCATGTACCGGTACTCGAGTACTCGAGTGTGAACATATTTGCTTTTCCTCTCCCCAATTCCCGGGGTGAGTAGGTTGGTAGTACGTTGTGCGAGTACAATTACGGGTGAATCACGAAATTCCTGGGTTTGGTTTCGGTCGAGTGGGTTGCGTGTGTGCGTGCGGGGGAGGGAACGAGAGAAAGGGTTGGGACCATTTTCTTTTCTTTTTCTTTTTCGTCTATTTCTTTTTTCTGAGACATGTTCTCCAAGAAGTGTCGAACAAGGGTGCGATAGGAGGGGCAGAAAGTCGGGAGTGTGGGGGGGGATTGGTTGTGGTGGTACTTGATTTCCTTGGTGGCCGGGGGCTGCTGGGGCGATGCTGGTGGTTGCGGGGTTGGTGCCGGGGTGGGGCGGTCAGGCGGTGGAGTAAAGGTAGGAGTGGGGAGTAGGAGTCTGCAGTGGTTTCGGGGTCATTGGACGTCACTCGGTTGTGATGGTTCAGCTGCGCGAGCCTTGTGTCGGCAGGTTAAGAGAAGCCGGGGGCTTAATCTGACACCGCCACATGCGAAGAGTCGGTCAGTTTTGTCTGCTCTCGTACAAGTACCGGTACTATGATATGTATTCTCCGGGGTAGGGTAGTGTCGGGTAGGGCGGCGCAGCAGTGTGTAACACGGGTATCCCGGCCTGTGGGAAAAATCTTATGGGAGGGTTAGTAGGCAGGTTAGATCGGCAAATGTCAGGTATCATATTTGTCGGCGCAGGAGAGGGGGAAGGCGAGCACTCAGGGAAGGGAAGATATTGGCACCATAGCTTTTATTCAACCAGGCCCAGGCCATTTTTTGAGTTGACAAGCCTTTTTTTTCCCTGACCGCAGGGGTGAGGTGCGGGTTGCCCGTTCTTACTTATTGAAACGGTATTGTTGTCCCTCCCTGCCGCCCGGCTGCCTGGCGCCCAGCCCGTTATTAATCCTAGGAGGAAATAGCCAATGAGGAAGTAAACTTGAATTCAGAAGTTTTCCAATAAGCCATGTAGGTAAGGGATGGTGACCCTCCCGAAAGTAGGGTAAAAATGAACCTATCGGAAATTGTCCCCTTTCTGCTCTCCGGTTGTCTGGTACCTATCAGGTTGCTAGCCCTAGGAGAAAACCTTCGATGGAGAAGTTGACTCGGATTCGGAAGCGTTCCAGTAATCTGTGTGGGTGAGGGCCGGAGACATTCCCGGGAGTGAGGCGGAAATAAGCTCGATGGAAGAAGAAGTAGCGGTGCACCCGTGCAATTGATGTCTGTGCCCTACTGACACATACTACTAAGCGCAAATTATTAGAGTTATACCCCGACTACCCCCGGTATCCGGGAGCACTTTACTATGGTTTAAGCATGCCAACACTGCAGCGTACTGGCTCGCCCTATCCCTTCCCTGGGAATCTCGTGGATTTTCTGGGTAAGATTTTTTCCCCGAGGATCGAAGGTGAATACCCGCCACAGAGTAACAACGTGTGCGCACATGTAATCGCTTGCGAGTTTACCACGTCTAATCTGGTAGGCGTAGGCTGTTGAGTATAGAAGCAAGTAATGATCTACTACTGGAAGGAGAACTTCGGAAAGTCATTCCGGCACGTTATAGCATCCCCTGGACACTGGAATGGTCGAGGAGTCTTATTACGGGACGTTGGAGTTGCCGCTACTAGTAAGATTGAGTTTTTTTTTTTTCTTTTTTCCCTTCTCTTTTTGTTTGCCTCGGTGGAGAGCTTTCTTTTTTCTTTGTCCTTCCGCTGTGCTTCTTCCTTTGATTCGGAGGGGGGGGGGAAATGCCCTAGAAGGGTTTCCAAATACTCCATTTTTGACTGATATATTAATAAAGTGGGGAGAAGATCAACCTGATCTGGAGCACGGGTGGTTGCGCAAGGAATCGCCTCATGGGGGATTTTGCAGAACTTCCCAGGGGGTCGGATGACACTGCAGTTGTCTTGAACGAGGCCTTTCCCCTTTTCCTTCTCTCTCTTCTCTTTCGGTCTTGCTCGAATGACCGCTGGTGATTGAGATTGAGAAATTATTTGATTCACTGTACATCATATCTCCAGTTAATAACCTACAATACGTGAACTGGACGTTCTGACCGCAGGTGGGACTAAACTCTGTTGCCATAGTTGATATATATGGTGTAACTAATGCGCTCACCCCGAGTACCTGTAGTACAAAAGTGGTACCGTTAGAGTACCGTCTCGGTCTATAGTAGGGCGTGGCCAACGGGATAAGCGGATTTGTTAGCGCATCACCGACAAGCTAAACTTCCCCTAACCGATGCTAAAGATACACATATTGACGGGATTTCCATTGATCACCCCCTCCCAAGGCTTTATTCTTAGACCAGGGCCCCCTACTCCTGATCGTTACCATTTTCATCTATATCGAGTGACTATGCATGACTGCTCCAGGGAACAGCGATCACGAGTATATTCATTGTTTTTTTTTTTACTCGTTCGCCTTGCGCGAGCGGTGGGGAACTGAGGTGCGAGAAAGATTAGGCCCCCATCACATCTCTCTCCTCATTCTCTGCTAAGGCGGAAGAACTTGGGGCGAAGGAGAAGGAAGAGTGGATAGGAGAAAAAAAAAAAATGATATTAAGGTGTGGGGAACGTTAGAGGACAATTGTTCATATAATCGCTCAAAACTCGCTTGAATCTCGCACCTGAGCTTTTCCGAAGAATTTTATGCAGAGTAATCGGTTTCGTGGGTCAGGCGGACTTAGTGCATGTTTATAGGCACTAACAGCCTGGATATCCACCAACCGACCCGTGTGCTGTGTGTCGTGGGAGTTGCCCCTCTCCCTCTGACAAGGCGTGGGTAATTTCTGATATGATACCTTGTATTCCTGGAAAAAAGGTGAAGGGCCGAGTGGCTATCCTTCTGCTGTGTTTTCTTCGCAACCTCTCTCCCTTGGAGGGAAAATTCTAAAATAATATTATGGAGTGCACCCTTCAATCGTTGAGATTTTGCCATGATATAGGGGTAGAAGTCAGGGATTGGCCTCTCTCTTGCGTTTCACCACTAAAAGTTGGTGTTCGAGAGCAAAATAATAAAGATCCCTGTGTATAGTCGTGTCCGTTTGATGAGTTCACACCCTGGCAACACAGCACAAGCCTAAATTACAATCCGATTAAGGAGTATATAAGAATTTGATTGTGCTATAAAGTCTTATATTATGAATATGAATATCGATAGACAGTCTGTAATAAGAACTAGTCAACAATAGAGCGGATACTGCATCCTGATAGAGGTGATTGCTCGACGCATTTAGGCTATATGTAATATCATACTGGGACTTTAGTACTGTAAAAACCCCAGTTTGATGACTTGGGACTGGCCCGGGATCGGACAGTTCACAATTGACAAAGTTCCAAAAATTCATGATAGGAGGAATATTCCTTCTTTTCAAAAGGTCCTGGAAGACAGGCTTTCTTGTATCAGAGATTGCAAAACGATCAGGTGAGGGCCAGTTCGTTAAAGAAGAAAAAAAAAAAAAAATGCAGGTTTTTCTGGTAGTATTTTAATATCAAATCAAAGAACTCTTATTGGATTTGACTAATAATTTTTTGTTTTCTTAGGGAAGTCATAAGGATATCAGCTAGTCCGCTAATGGATACCAGCTGGTCCGCGAAACCGTAGAGGTTAGGACTTTAAAATAAATCAATACCCTTATAAAAGGTAAGGGGACAAAACTTTCCATCCGGCACGGCAATGGCAACTTCAATACCATTATATATTTTTTACCTATGCAACCACAACTGGTTATAATGAACTAAAAATATAGGTATAAATTCATCAAATATAGGAAAATCTTTATGTGAAATTGCAGAGAAAAAAACCTGATACTTAGTATACCATCTCTTTGCATTTAAAACAGCAGCCACTCTCCTAGGCATAGTGTTAGGATTTCTCATTGATTGCTTCCAAGATATATTCATTCAACTAGTAATGAGTCTTGTTATAGAAGTAATACACATTATTACTTCTTTCTTTTTAAATATAGTAATTGTCTTGTAGTTGTTTCTTATTACTTTAAGAAAATACTATTATTTTCTTAAGTACTTCAGAGTAGCAACAATTGCTCACTATATATGTAATAAAGTTCCTGTAGGGTAATATATGAGGTGTGAATAATAAAGTGGTATTTGTAAAGATATATGCTAGAAAATAACTTAGGTGGTTCAACCTAATTTTATTTATACTTGTACTATTAATACTGATATACTTCAGGTCTGGAGCCAGTGGACCCTCCAGTTAGTACACCACTAGTAGCTGCTACAAACTACAAACTAACTAAACCTCTAGTCTCACACCTCAAACATGTCCGCATCATACTCAAATACAACTACTAAATACAAAACCATCAACAGTAAAGAAAGTTCTCTCCAAAATAACACTATAGATCCTGTAGTATGAGTCCAGCCAAGCTAAGTAGTGGAAACCACCCAACCTCTTGGTGTAGTCTAAGGTAAACAGAGTACTAATCTCATAAGTTTTCCATAAAAATTCCACAATCTAACTGGTACAAGCTCAGACTATCTGGCAATACAGCTATATCAGAAAACTCCATAGGCTGAAGCTAACTAAAAACTATACCTAGGAAAAAATTAATAGATTAAAGCTGTGAAAATTATTACGCAACCTAATAAAAGAAATACCTAACTAGGCTACAGGGTGAAGTCTGAAGAATCCAGCACAAAAACTCCTGAAAATTCTGACTCACTGTTACAAACCTGGTGTGGTCTGTAAAGAACTTAATGTTATAGTTGATGTTCA